GTCTGATTGTTATAGTATTCTATATAAGCATGCAAATATTTTATTTATATATTTGGGATGTTGTCAAATGACATTTATCTCATTATATTAAAAATAAATTTCAGATTGGTTTTAAACATCATCTTAATGGGTTTTCCTTTTTTATCTGGTGAAAAATTATGTGACTCATTCCAACCTTGCTATTTTATTAATCGATGGAATTGCAAGTACTGTCTTTAGAACTAAAAACACATTCTTAATTCCACAGGGACATTAAAATTTAAAGGTTGCAATCTTGTCATTAAAATTTAAAGATTGCAATCTTGTCTCTCTCTTATACTTATCAAAAAGCTATTATTAAATTGCTGCTTCTCAAAGACCAAATTTCCAATTTATTTCTACAAAGAATGTGAATATAAATGGACAATTTAAATATTTCATGTGTTTTTTTAAAAATACTGTTCTTAGAATTTAGGAGTGGATAAGATCACTATCAGCATGGTCTCTGAACCATTTTTATTCTAAGGTTCAGAACTGAATGGGAGTTATGTGAAGAACACAGAACGTTTCAGTTCAAATTATTTCTACTGAGACTGTGAAGCATTTTATGGAAATGAGAGAAACGGTCAACTGAACTTAATATTTAACATGATTATACTGAAGCTTCTGTTACTGCTATTGCCACATATGACTTGCCAGGGTGAAATAATAAAATGCAGAATTGGAAATCCTATCCCGATTGTTCATAATTATTTCCAACCAGGTGACTTAATTGTTGGTGGCATTAGTTCTTTTATCTTCGTGCCTAAAGATGTATAAAACTTTGAAGAAGATCCCCATCATTCAGCTGTTGGTGAACCTCTGTAAGATATGATGATGATGATGATGATGATGATGATGATGATGATAATGGATATTTCACACTAGATGATATTGTTAAGATATTTCATGTTGTTAATTGCGAAGTCGTGTCCGACCCGTCGCGACCCCATGGACAATGTTCCTCCAGGTCTTCCTGTCCTCTACCATCTTCTGGAGTCCATTTAAATTCACACCTACTGCTTCAGTGACTCCATCCAGCCATCTAATTCTCTGTCGTCCCCTTCTTCTATTGCCCTCAATCTTTCCCAGCATTAGGCTCTTCTCCAGTGAATCCTTCCTTCTCATTAGGTGGCCAAAGTACTTGAGTTTCAACTTCAGGATCTGGCCTTCTAAAGAGCAGTCGGTGTTGATCTCTTCTAGGACCGACCGGTTTGAACGCCTTGCAGTCCAAGGGACTCGCAGGAGTCTTCTCCAGCACCACAGTTCAAAGGCCTCAATTCTTTTGCGCTCAGCCTTTCTTATGGTCCAACTTTCACAGCCCTACATTGCAACTGGGAAAACCATGGCCTGGACTATACGCACTTTTGTTGGCAGGGTGATGTCTCTGCTTTTTAGAATGCTGTTTAGATTTGCCATAGCTTTCCTCCCCAGGAGCAAGCGTCTTTTAATTTCTTGGCTGCAGTCCCCATCTGAGGTGATCTTGGAGCCCAGAAAAATAAAATCTGTCACTACCTCCAGTTCTTCCCCATCTATTTGCCAGGAATTGAGAGGGCCGGATGCCATGATTTTGGTTTTCTTAATGTTGAGTTTCAAGCCAACTTTTGCACTCTCCTTCTTCACCCGCATCAAGAGGCTCTTTAGTTCCTCTTCACTTTCTGCCATTAGAGTGGTATCATCTGCATATCTTAGGTTGTTGATATTTCTCCCGGCAATCGTAATTCCAACTTTTGATTCATCTAGCCCTGCCTTTCTCATGATGTGCTCTGCATATAAGTTAAATAGGCAGGGTGATAGTATACAGCCTTGCCGGACTCCTTTTCCAATTTTGAACCAATCAGTGGTTCCGTGTTCGGTTCTCACTGTTGCTTCTTGACCTGCATATAGGTTTCTCAAGAGACAGATGAGATGGTCTGGTACTCCCATCTCTTTAAGAACTTGCCACAATTGTGATCCACACAATCAAAGGCTTTTGCATAGTCAATGAAGCAGAAGTAGATGTTTTTCTGGAACTCCCTAGCTTTCTCCATGATCCAGCGTATGTTGGCAATTTGATCTCTAGTTCCTCTGCCTCTTCGAAATCCTGCCTGTACTTCTGGTAGTTCTCGATCCACATACTGCGGGAGTCTAGCTTGTAGGATTTTAAGCATAACTTTACTAGCATGTGAAATGAGTGCAATTGTGCGATAGTTTGAACATTCTTTGGCATTGCCTTTCTTTGGAATTGGAATGTAAACTGACCTTTTCCAATCCTGTGGCCACTGTTGAGTTTTCCAAATTTGCTGGCAAATTGAGTGTAGCACTTTTACTGCATCGTCTTTTAAGATTTTGAATAGCTCAGCTGGAATACTGTCACCTCCACTAGCTTTGTTGTTGCTCAGATTTTCTAAGGCCCATTTCATGTTATGAATCACAAATAGCTGTACTGATGCAGATACAGATATTTTTCATTTAAAATCAGTGTTGATATTACAGTATTTAAATAATGTATTATATCTTTGTACTCTGGAAAGGAAACTCACAGCTATAATGTATATTCCTTAAATCAAGGGGGAAAAATCAGACTAAACATTCTTTTACTGTATAAACTTTTTATAATGAGTAGATTTTGACAATACAGAGGCTCTCCCCCTCCTTTGAGGTGAGAATTATAGCACAATTATATATAACCATAAGAATAATACCATTCATTTTTAGATATAATTTGCCTCAGCGAAAAACAAGAAAATGCTACCATTCTTCTCCTTAGTGTTGTTTAGTAAAATCAGCATTCTTTTCCATAAGGCTAGTATTGGATTTAGCAATTATACCATATATCATTTTGATATCACTATTGCATATTTAAACACAGAGTTAGAAGAAGACATATATATGGCACAATCCTTAGGTTATGAAACTAAGCATCCTGGATATGTATATAAATTAAATAAAACTATATATGGGTTGAAACAGTCAGCAAGAAATTGGAATCAGTGCTTAGATGCTGCTCTCAGAAAGTTAGGATTTAGAAACAGCAAGGCGTTGATAACCTTTGTTTTATTGCTAAGAATTGCTCCCAGGTTTACTCCTTTGCCAGGCAACTGGAAAAGAAGTTCCAATTAAAAAGCCTAGGAGAAATAAGGAATTACCTAGGTGTGGAGATAAGAAAACCACAACAGGGAGAATATGTGTTAAGCCAAACAAAGAAAATAAAATCGCTGTTACGAAAGTATAATATGCTAGGATGTAACAGTGTATTAATTCCTATGACACCAAGCTTCCAGAATGATGTAGAAACAGAACCAAGAAGTGTACCAATCAGCTATAGGTAGCTTATTATATTTATTCCAGTGGTCAAGGCCAGATATAACCAATGCAGTTAGCATTTTGAGTTGGCACACTTCAGCACCCAAACAGACTTGCCCCAGAGCCAGAGGGTTTGTACTTCATGATTTGTTTGTGGTTAGTGGTTGTTAGAGGAAGCAGGCAACATGGACTCCATCAGTGTAATGGAAGGAGGCTTCATAATATCTCGGCTGGTGTGTGAAGATGGAAATGTACCTGTGAAGGGAGGAGTTGTGGATGATAGTTACTGATGCACCAGTAGCCTTGGATGATGGGGATCAGAAAAGGAATGAAAAAGCGTTGGCCAGCATAATCCTGAATTTGGAGGATACACGTGAGGGGTCTCCAGTTTGCTAAAGAGTGGTAGGAAGCTTTGCGCAGTGTGTACGTTAGAGAGACTGTGAGCAGCAAAGTAATGCTGACAAGGAAGCTGTATAAGGCCCAACTGAGACCGGGAGAGAGCATGTCTACACATTTGCAGTTCATGAGAAAGACATTCCTAGAGCTAGAAGTAAGAGGAATGACTTTTACTGAGGCTCACAAATCCAGAAAGGAACCTTCAGTAGTACTGTCAACTGCTGAAGTTGAATTCATAGCATTGTCCAAGGCATATTTCTGAGATAACCTGGTATGTTCAATTGCTAGGGGATATATATGTTTATATACAAGGAACTGTACCAGTATTTGAAGACAATGTTGCATGTATAAAAATGGCAATGGAGAAGGTATCGGAAGAAGAAGTAAACATGTAGATATAAAGTATTGTAACATCAGGGAGACTGTAAAGGATAAACTGATAAAGTTATAGCATTGTTCCACTGACAACAATATAGCCGATATGTTAACCAAGCCTTTAAACATAAGCAAGCATCAAGAATATGTAAAAGCATTTAGGCTAACAGCTGTTCAGCTTTAAATGGGGAGGAGTATCAAAGTGATGATTTAAGAGCTGACCAGCAGATGCAATGATGGGAATGAGTCAGCAGGGTCTTTGGCTGTTACCTCTTTTAGAGCCTATATAAAAAAGGGGAGGCTCTGCTAGTGTGTCTTCTTTTCTTTTCCCTTTCCTGCTGTATTTGCTGTTTGTTGGATTCTGCTTGTATATTGTTCCTAGTGATACTTTATAACTTTTTAGATATTGTAGATAAACCACCATTTGTTACCAGCCACCATTTGCTGTGTCTGGGTTGTCGCACGTGATAGGACTGTGCATGCTCTGACAAAATGCACCTAAGAAAACTCAGTGATTATTCTACTGAAAATGATATCTAAACTGAATGGCAACCAATTAATTAGTTTACATGAAAAAATGATTATTGCTGTCTAAGACATAGGTTAGAATAAATTGATTTTCACTGCCTTTTTTAGGTAAAGAATTTCATTTGATGTACCATCTAATTCCCATTGCAGAATCCTTACTAAGTATTATCAGCATATTTTGGCCATGATATTTGCTGTGAAGAAGATTAATGAAGACCTCCAGTTCTTACCTAACATCATCTTGGGCTTCAGAATATATGAGAGTTATGGAGGAGAGTACACATATCATGCCACAATGGAACTTTTCTCCAGTCAGAACCAATTCATTCCCAACTATAAGTGTTATGAACAAACTCATATCAGTTGTTGGGGCTATTGGGCCTGCAATATCATTCGATATGGCAGATATTTTAGGCAAGTACAAAGTTCCACAGGTAAGATGCATTAAGGATAAATTGTCCACACTTTGTATTTTTGGGGGGGAAATTTCAAGGCCTTGTTTTTTTTAAAATTTTCATATACATATCTCTGTGAAGCATATTTAATAATATGTATTTAAGAAGCATAAATCAATATCAGTTTCAGAATTTGATATAATAATAGATCAGTTTCAAAAGTTAACCTGTAGTAAGCATAGAGATTTGGATTTCTGTAGTTCTCCCATGGAAGTTGGAAAAAAAGCCTTTAATATTTTTGTAAACAATCTTTATTCAGTCATAGACTAGCGGATGAAGCATAAACATTACAATTAATTACAATAAAAATAAATATGCATTTGTTCTAAAATATCTAAAAAGAATTAAATCAGACACTGCGGCATACTGTACAAATTTTAAAACACTATTTAATTGTGGCCAAGGAAATAAAATTAATTTCAATTCAAGATTAAAACAAGTCAGAACAACCCAGCTATTTAATAAAGAATGGAGATTCATGGCAAATATCTGCTAAAATGGGGCAATAGAGAATAACATATTCTATTATTACAATTACTGTATTCCTCCATCCCCTGGAAAAAAGGGGGGTGTTTTGGTATCTCTTTCAGTAATGGCTGTTGGGCGGGCATTGAATCAGGATAAGGATAAAGCCCTACTAAATTTTGGGATTATCACCTGTTCGCCAGTTTGGAAACTTTAGCGTTCCAAACTTGCTAGAAAATAATGAACACTGAGTACTTTTCCAATGTACACTTGAATCTTTGTATATAATTTCATAAAACTTACTGTGTTGTTTGTGTAGTTCCTTACCCCATACTGTAAAAGGAAGGAAAATCAATAAATGAATGAATGAATGAAGAAAAGAAGGAAAGAAGGAAGGAAGGAAGGAAGGAAGGAAGGAAGGAAGGAAGGAAGGAAGAAAGAAAGAAAGGAAGGAAGGAAGGAAGGAAGGAAGGAAGAAAGAAAGAAAGAAAGAAAGAAAGAAAGAAAGAAAGAAAGAAAGAAAGAGCCAAGCCTAAATCTTACTTTCAGGGACTTTATAAAAGCAAGTTCTGAAGACAATACGGTACCAAGAAAGCACATAGTTTAATATTTCTTCCACATATATATACTGTAGCATTAGAAATATTCATACAGAAATTGTTCATGGGTGCAGACAAATTTGACAAAAGTATTATTATTATTATTGTTAATAATAATAATAATATATATATATATATATATATATATATATATATATATATATATATATATATGACAAGTTCGCTATTAGTCAATTGCAAAAGGAGGCCTTACTAGGAACTGCTTCCATCCTGCGACGATATCTGTAATACCATCAAACATCCACATCTGCCTATCCCAGGTCCTGGGTAAGGACTCGATAGGTAGACAAAATGCCAAATCCAGTCTGAACATCTGGCTGACTGTGCGATGATCCATAATTAATAATAATAATAATAATAATAATAATAATAATAATAATAATAATAATCCCCCAGTGAGGCACTACCTTGACGTGGTTGTGGGGCTTGTGTACTCTGAGGAAGATGAGAGCTATGCCAGAGGTTCAACCATACTGGACAGGTCTCATCAGAGGAGTCAGACAAAGAGTGTCTCTCCCATAAAAAATATGGTGAGACGTAAATTTCAGAATGCCATACCGGCTCGGACGTCGCCCGGGTTAACAAGGTCCGCACTAGATATTGGAGTTCCTGGATATCTGGTGAAAAATGGGTTACAGGACTCAGGACTGTTGGCTGAGCAACCAGGGCCAGCAGCTGCAGAACTACTGGAAGAAAAGGTGTTTACCCGTCGCAGATACACAGTGATGGAAAACAAAGAAATAATGATCTGTTACTACAGATCAAGTCCAACAAGAAGAGGATATCTAAAACGAATGCACCAGTTCTGGAAAGAACAACATCCAGAATCAGAAATAACAGAACAGAGACTAGCAGATCAACGCCGATTTATAACACGAAATAAAGTATTTACAGAAACAGAATTGGACGAACTGCAAAGGTTTACCCAGGGCAAAGAAATCAAAGCCTTACAAGAAGTAATTCAGAATGTAGAGGCAAACCAGGGGGAGTTGGCAGTGAAAGAATCCAGTAGAGATATACAACTGTTCTCATTTGGAAACCAGGCACCTCTTCCTCAGGAAGAACAAAACCCTCTAACTAAAGAAATAAAAGAATTGAAACAAAGAATAACTGAGCATCTAGAACAGCACAAAAACAACAGAATAAGGCTGCCTGCATTGAAGCTTGTTCCAAAGAAACAGCTAGCACAAGCATTAAAAGATGCAAATACTGCAATAGCAAGTATAAGCACCAATTCACTGCAAGAAACAAACCAACTAATGTACAGCACAGCTGCAGTTATAACAGAATACCTGGGATGCAAAATCAACAAAAAAGAAAAACAAACAAACAGTGCACCAGAAAAATGGAAGGTTAGACTAGAAAATAAGATCAGCAAGTTAAGATCACATGCAAGCAAGCTAGAACAGATGAAAGAAAAGAAGCTGAAGAACAAAAAGACCAAAGAATACCTAATCAAGAAATACCACTTAGAAACAAGGAAGATCAAGGAAGCACTGGAAATATACACCCACTCATTACCAAGCAATTCAACAATATACTACAAGGAGGAGAAATTGAAAAGTGGCTAACAACTGGGAAAACCTACCTAATAATGAAAAATCCAGCAAAAGGGGCAACACTAGGTAACTACAGGCCAATTACCTGCTTACCAACAACATTCAAATTACTAACTGGTGTGGTAGCTGATGCAGTACAACAGCATCTAGTTGAAAACAATCTCTTTCCACCTGAGCAGAAAGGAAACCGCCCCAATAGCAGAGGAACAAAAGATCAACTCCTAATAGACAAAATGATCTTGGAAAACTGCAAGAGAAGGAAGACCAACCTGAATGTGGCATGGATTGACTACAAAAAGGCATTTGACTCTCTGCCACATGATTGGATAATAAAGTGCCTAGAAATAACAGGAGTCAGTAGAAACATCAGAAAATTTGTGCAAAGATCGATGGCACAATGGAAGACACAGTTGCAGATCAATGGTGAGAGGCTGGGAGAGGTTAATATCAAGAGAGGAATATTTCAAGGAGATTCATTATCACCATTACTATTTGTTATTGCACTGTTTCCTCTGTCAACAATACTGAATAACTCAGGACATGGGTTATCAAACATCAAAAACATCTGCTAGACTATCCCACCTCCTTTACATGGATGATCTGAAGCTGTATGGAAAAACATCATCTGAAATAGAATCGCTGCTCAACACTGTCCGTATATATAGCCAAGATATTGTAATGGAGTTTGGCTTGGACAAATGTGCCACACTTACTATCAAACAAGGAAAAATAGTGAAAACTGAAGGAATCAAGATGCCCCACGAAAATAACATTAAGAGTCTGGATGAGGAAGAGTACTACAAATACTTGGGTATCCTTCAAGCTGACAACATCAAGCACACTGAAGTCAAGAAAAAGATTAGAGGTGAATACATCAAGAGAGTGAAGAAGATCTTAAAATCCAAACTCAATGGAGGAAATACCATAAAGGCAATCAACACCTGGGCAATCCCAGTCATTAGGTACACAGCTGGAATAGTGGACTGGACTCAAGCAGAATTAAAAGCAATGGATAGGCAGACCAGAAAAATAATGACAATGAATCACGCCCTTCACCCACGCAGTGACATTGATAGACTTTATCTACCAAGGCAAATAGGTGGGCGTGGAATGCTACAAGTACATCAGATGGTTGAAGAAGAAAAAATGGCTTTGGAAGAATATCTGAAGAACAATGATGAAGATGCACTGAAATTAGTATATCAGGAAGGCTTACTAACTACTGGAGAGACCAAACTGGCCTACAAGAAAGACCAAATGAAGAACAGAATAGAGGCATGGGAAGACAAAGCACTACATGGCCAATACATGAAAAAAATAGCTGGGAAAGCAGATAATAATAAAACCTGGCAATGGCTAAGAGCAGGAAAATTGAAGAAAGAGACCGAGGGACTAATTCTGGCTGCACAAGACCAAGCCTTAAGGACAAATGCATACAAAGTCAAAATTGAGAAGACAGCAACAGACAGTAAGTGCCGCCTATGCAAAGAAGCTGAAGAAACAGTGGACCACTTGGTAAGCTGTTGCAAGAAGATTGCACAGACTGATTACAAGCAGCGGCATGACAAAGTAGCAACAATGGTGCATTGGAAGATCTGCAAAAAATATCATTTGCCTGTAAGCAAAAACTGGTGGGATCATAAAATAGAGAAAGTCATAGAAAATGATAAAATTAAACTGCTCTGGGACTTCAGAATTCAAACAGACAAGCACCTGCAACATAACACCCCAGACTTAACAATTGTCGATAAGAAAGACAAAAAAGTCTGGATAGTGGAGTGGCAGTGCCTGGAGATAGCAGAATAGAAGAGAAAGAACTGGAGAAGATAACAAAATACAAAGACCTACAAATAGAAATAGAAAGACTGTGGCAAAAGCAAGCAAGGGTAGTACCAATAGTCATAGCTCCTTGGGCGCAATCCCAAAACAACTGGAGCACCACTTGAACACCATTGGCATTGACAAATTTGCTATTAGTCAATTGCAAAAGGCGGCCTTATTAGGAACTGCTTCCATCCTGCGACGATACCTGTAATACCATCAAACATCCACATCTGCCTATCCCAGGTCCTGGGTAAGGACTCGATAGGTAGACAAAATGCCAAATCCAGTCTGAACATCTGGCTGACTGTGCGATGATTGATAATAATAATAATAAAGTTGGAAGGGACTTTGGAGGTCATCTAGTCCAACCCCCTGCTCAGGCAAGAAACCCTATACCCTTTCGGACAAATGGCTGTCCAGTTTCTTCTTAAAAACTTCCAGTGTTGGAGCATTCACCGCTTCTGAAGGCAGGTTGTTCTACTGGTTAATTGTTCTTATTGTCAGGAAGTTTCTCCTTAGTTCTAAGTTGCTTCTCTCCTTGATTAGTTTCCATCCATTGCTTCTTGTCCTGCCTTCAGGCGCTTTGGATAATAGCTTGACTCCCTCTTCTTTGTGGCAGCCCCTGAGATATTGGAACACTGCTATCATGTCCCCCCCTTCTCCTTCTCTTCGTTAAACTAGACATGCCCAATTCCAGCAACCGTTCCTCATGTGTTTTAGCCTCTTTGTTGCTCTTCTCTGTACTCTTTCTAGAGTCTCAGCATCTTTTTTATATCATGGTGACCAAACCTGGATGTAGTATTCCAAGTGTGGTCTTACCAAGGCATTGTAAAGTGGTATTAACACTTCACATGACCTGGATTCTATCCCTCTGTTAAGGTAGCCTAGCACTGTGTTAGCTTTTTTGGCAGCTGCAGCTGCCAAAAAAGTGATTGTCCACTAGGACTCTGAGGTCCCTCTCACAGTTACTACTATTGAGCAAGGTACCCCCTATACTATACCTGTACATTTGGTTTTTCTTGCCTAAATGTAGAACCTTACTTTTTTCACACTGAATTTCATTTTGTTAGATAGCGCCCAATGTTCAAGTCTGTCCAGATCCTCCTGTATCCTAAGCCTGTCTTCTGGAGTGTTGGCTATTCCTGCCAGCTTAGTGTCATCTGCAAATTGTACAAATTCTATATTGTTCTACAAAAAGATTTAAAAACCCTTTCATAGAAACATTATTTCCACTATAGAAGAAAGAGCAATATCCAGTTTAAATGAAAAAGTGATTGGAATTCATAAAATTGTAGAGTTGTGCAGTTGTAAGGAAACACAAGTACCCGCTAGTCTAGTCCTGATTTCAGAAATATAATGTGCACAAAATAATGAGATATTTCAGAATTCTTATATTTCAGAATAGATGGTACATATTTTATTTTGTTAGACTGTTTCTTCTCTCTTTCTCTTTTTCATGTTCCTATCTAATTTTTATTTCTATAGTTCCTATATGGCCCTATTCCAAGTATGGAGGGTAAAACTGAAATCCCTTTCTACTACCATATGGTTCCAGATGAGGAGTTCAATTTCAGGGGAATTCTTCAAATACTTTTGTATTTCCATTGGACCTGGGTTGGGATCCTAGTAAAGGGACATGGTGGACCAAATTTTGAGCAATTAATCTTTTCAAAGTTTTCTCTACATGGCATCTGCATTGCCTTCTTAGAGCAACTCAGGCCAATTTATATCAACAGCATATCTGATGGCCTGAAATGGCTTGTGGAAACCTTCTATGTTTTTATTAACAGCAAAGCTAATGCTATGATAATCAATGATAATTATGTTCTACCTTTGAGATGGTTGTTATATATACCTAAAATGGAATCAATATCTATTAAACCTAAAGGTAAAGTGTGGATTGTGACCAATCAAATGGGCCTTGCCTCATTCTTTTATCAAAGGACTTGGAATATCCAAATTCTCCAAGGTGCTCTGTCCTTTGTGGCTTCTTCAAATGAAGTTGAAGGCTTTCAACAATTTCTTCAGACAAGAAACCATTCCTTATTCTCTCACCAAGATGGTTTCCTAAAAGATGTGTGGGAACATGCATTTGGCTGTGTATTTCCAAAATCTTCTTTGAATGAAGAAACTGAAGGTGTCTGCACTGGGAAGGAGAAACTGGAGAGCCTTCCTGGGGCTTTTTTTGAAATGAGGATGACCAGTCACAGTTACAGTACATACAATGCAGTTTATGCTGTGGCACATGCTTTACACACCATGAAGTTGAGCCAACAACCAAAGAGGAGAACATCAAGTGGCAGGAAACTACATCTCCAGGAACCACAGCCATGGCAGGTAACTTTGTGAAGAGTCGAAAATGTTAGAAATGTGACTTAATTTCCATTGACATATTGAATGCAAACAGATACCTGTTGACTTTTACAGATGGTTAGATTTACTTGGTGAGTAAACCAAAAAAATCAAGGTATGTGTCACTTGGTGAGTAATATACATGCTGGAAAGCCTCAAATTAGGACTTCCTGAGGATATGGGTATTAATATAGAGCAGAAAATATGAATAAATATAGCAAAAAGCAAGGGATTTAGATCAATCAAGATCAGGGTATCAAACTGTCAGCCCACGGGCCGGATGCGTCATGTGGAAGCCAGGCCCACCCCATTGCCGGCAATGGCAAAACAGTCCCGATACATTGCACAATATCATGTGATGGTGTGAGTTTGACATGTCTGATTTAGACTGTCCTATATACCACAACACAATAGGGCAGCAGAGAGGGGGGAAATCTCTCTGTAATAAGATGGGAAGCATTCTATAGGGTGCAATGCTTCTAAGTGAAAGAAGCTGTCACCATTGCCACCCACAAGCAAAAGGATTCCATTAAAGGTTATAGATTGAAATCCAAGCAATTTGTGGCATGGGAGGAAGTACTTTAGAGTGCTGAGTTCTAAAGTTAATGCTTATAGGCCAAACAAAGGGAGCCAATGTGAATGGTCATTAAGGTGTTTGTATATTCACAGTACTGCAAGTCTCTGCATAAATTCTTAAAATATATTGCAGTTTTATTTGTAGGTAAGGGGAGAAAAAGATTGTAATTTTAAAGTGTCAGATCATATTTCTGATGTCCAGAAGAAGCTTTGAAAAAGATGTTCATAATGTACCTAGAATTTGACAGCAAGTCAAAGTCTGAAGGGAACTGATCATTGGACTCTTCCTGTTCCCCCTGTGAGCTCTCTCCCCATTTCATGAAAGCAATTTTTTAAAATATGTTTTATTGATTTTTAACACCTTAATATTTGGTAAACATCATGTTGTCTGGGTTAGTATTTAAAAAACAATCAATAACAATTAATTTCTATAACTCTATATAGTCCGTATAATAACTTTACTTGATTTCCTCTTCTTCCAATAATATTCTCTTTAGCCAACCTTAAATTAATACAGTTCTTATTTAAATAAATGACAATTAAATATAAACATTTTTCTCATGTTTCTGCAAATAATAAGTATAAAGCTTCTTTTCATTGATCATCTTGATTACCTCATTATAAATCTGGTTTACATTCTTATTTAAATTTGTTTCCCCACAGTATTCAAAACACTCTTACTGGTTAAGATTTTCTCAAAATTAGTTACACTTAAGTAAATCTTTTTTTTCATACAAGACATCACATTTTTACATTTCTCATATCTTAAAAGAAATTAAGAACAAAAAGAAAAAAAGAAAAAACAGAGAAAACATTTCTTTTATATAAACCATCCCAACATTTTTATATTTCTCATGCCAAAAAAAAAAAAAAAAAAACCCTCAAAAGAAAAAAGAAAGAAGGCATACTATATTACTTTAGGCCAGGGGCTCATACCTCTTAAACTAATCTTCATTTATATTCAAAATCTTTCTATTTCTTTAACCATATTCAAACAAATGTTTAATTTTTAAATACTCCCTTTGATAATTCCCATTATCTAATTTTTTGATTCTCACTTTAGTCTCTTTTTTTTTGCCCAACATCTTTCTTGTTCAATATGCTTCAGTGAATCAAACAATCCTTCCATAAACTAATAAATGTTATTGCGGGTACAAAAGGCAAAACAGGTATGTTTTTATAGGAAGGTTTTACTCCTTTGTATTCATTGAAAATCCTTTCTCATAGTTCTCCTGGCAAAATCCATTTTACCAAATCTTTTTTCTTGTCCTCAAACTTATTTGTAATCTTAAAGTGTAGTTTTTCTTTTCCATGTCCAGAGTTCCCTGTAGATTTTTTCCCATCTGGGTTAAGTCATATTTCCTAGTATTATTAAATTTCATCTTGAAATCTTTCTCCTCTGTTTCGTAAATCAATTGTCTGCTTTCTCTGCTCACTCTCTATTTTTATTTTCTAAGATTTTTTATGTTGTAAATTTAAATTGGAGATGTGTTCATTTATGTTTTCAGGGTTACGTTTAATTTCCTCATGGTTTGAAATTATTGTTGTAGATTAGTTTCAACATAGCATAGATCTCCTTCTGGAAAATATTTGGTTTTTTTTGGGGGGGGGGTATATTCTTTCTGCAGATCTCTGATTTTCCATGATAGCCAAAAATCAGGGTTTTCCTTTCTCTGCAGATGGCTTTAAAGTCATAGATGAATTAGTATTTGTAATCCAGAAAGGTCAATTTTTTAGAGTTTATAATTCTCACTTCATAGAAAGCCCAAGTTCTTTCCTTTTTTTAATCACAGCTGTTCTTTGTTATTAAGACAATGAAAGTCACCAAGATCAAATTTATCTTTTCCTGGGCCTTGCCAGTCTCTGTAGTAAAGCAGCTGTTGTTGTAATATTTTCATTGACCACTAGATGTCAGCACCAGTTTTTTCAGTAATTAACATTTATTTCTGTTTTAATGATATAAGAGAAAAATCTTAACAGATTCCATCAATTTCAAACTTATCCAAATTAAGTCTTATATTCTTTTCATTTCAACATATTTCTATTTCCTTTGAAAGGTTTAATTCGCTGCTTCCATCTGCAGGAGGGTGGAGCAAAAGTTCCCCTCCTTCTCACTTTCAGAGACTTTTTGCTTCTTGTTTTTTTTTCCCCTAGGAAATCAATTTCCAAATAGAAGAGAGAAAATCACTGTTCTTACCCAGTTCCAAACACATTATTTACAGTCAGCTTAGAGTAATACTTTTGAACTTTGGTTGCTTGTAGCTTGGATTAGATTCAGAAGTTGAGCTAGCCTCTTCTCCTGCTGGTTTCTGGAGGGCTTTTCCCAAATCGATCGGATCAACTGCCATTGCTCTGCAATTGGCAGGACTTCCCCCCTTCTGTGTTGCCTCTACAGGGCAACTTTAGGCCCATTTAGGATCCCCTGAGAGGCAGAAATCAGCCATAGGGAGTGGAGTCCCATGATCCCTCGCTGCTTCACTACTGTGCAAAACCAGAAGTGGCAGCCATATTTTTTTAATGCAGTTATGATGACCTTACACTCTTTTCAATCCAATGAGGTTTCTAAACTGCCAATCACAAGTATCAAAGAAGAAATTGAACTGAGAATGGAGTTTACTAAGCAAACAGGTTCAGTTCAAGTGATTAAATAACTTTCTGCTTTAGACTTTTCTTTACCTATTCTGAAAGACATAAAAATATCCTTTATTTTATTAAATTTCAGTATGCCAAATATAGCATGTAGTGATTTTTTTTACTGAAATTTATTTTGTAAATTGCATTAAAATATCAATATTAAAGAAAATTACAAGTTATATTTGACAAACTAAGATAAAACTCACTGGCAAATTAGAAAAATTAGTTTCAAAATTTCATACATGACAAATAAGTACCTACATGAAAATAATAGAAAAAAACATTTATGAAATTAGAAACAAGTTTGAAAGAAGAAGACAATATAAACTTACAAAAAAGGAAAAAGAAAAAAAAAAGAAAATGACCAATACAATGGCCATCTTCATCAAGTATAATTTCTTAAGTGAGATGTCAGCCTTTGTATTGCATGTTCAGGCAACTCATTATATCTCACTATAAAATATTTTTTGTACCTGTTACTTGTTAACCTAATAGTTGGCTAGATTAAACCCCTGGTTTGAACCAAAAAGATGCATACAGTATCAACTGTTTCTATATAGTAACAGTAATCACATTTTTTTAAAAAAAAAATTGCATATTCTTTCTATATTCAGCTTCACTTCTTCTTGAAAAACTCTCATTTAACAATAATGTTGGAGATAAAATTTATTTTGACCAAAATGGAAAATTGGTTATAGGACTAGATATTGAGAACTGGGTCACTCTCCCCAACCAGTCCTTCCATCAAGTGAAAGTTGGGAAGCTGGTTCCCTGGGTTACAGAAGACCAAATGTTCACCATCCACGAGAAAGCCATCACCTGGCACAGTACTTTCAACCAAGTAGGTTCTGAATGTAGATAATTTTGTTTGAATGTGAGATGACATCCAAATAATAGCCATATTAATTTAACACTGAAATAATATTGTAAACTTACAGTATTCTAGAAATTGATGTATATATGTCTCGAAATGGGGGGTCCTTGGTGCTCTCTAAACTTACTTGCTTTCTTGCAGATATTTCATTACTCAAACTACATAACATCATCACTATTACTTTTATACATACATTATTGTAATGGATAGCGTAATTTGTATATGCCAAATTTATTTTTAAACTTACTACCATTGATTGAAGATACATGCTACATACATTTGTATCTGATAGCAAATTAATTTGCAAAGTTTTATATACTCAATGCATTTTACTTCTTAGTTAAACATACAAAAATGCAGAGCAAAAATATGTTGATTATCTTAATTTTTATTTCTCTAATACTTTACATCAGTGGTGTCAAAGTGCCAGCCCACGGGCCAGATGTGTCATGATGAAACTGTGCCCACCCCATTGCCAGCAATGGGGGGGAAAGCTCTGATAGATCACGCAACATCACGTGACATTGCGAGTTTGACATTTCTGCTTTATATGAAGATTAAGAGTACGCAAAACCTAGAGGGATTCTCTGATCTGATTGAACCTAATTTCTAAAATAGAAAAAAAATCACCATGAACTCAGAGATTAAATGTCTGGAGGTTTGGATGAGTTCCACTAAAATATCTATAGAATTGATGCATGATCTTAATTTAAAACATTTCACAAAGTATAAGTAACCAGGTTATTTAAACAAGTTGTTGATCAGCAGGCATCTTGCATAGTTTTGATGTTTATGATCATGAGGAACAACAAAATATCCTTAGAATTAACTTATATTTGCTATATTATTTGCTAAATATCAGTTCATCATGATTTTACAAGCTTTTTTTCTAAATACTTGA